GAGAAGGCGGGGCCTCTGTGAGCCAGAGATGCTAGTGCTATTCAGGGTTGGCCGGCAGAAATGGGAACCCCTTCAGCCCTCTTCCGGGGTTCAGCCCCCCGCCCCGCCGTTGTCATCACTATAGGCTGGAACCCGGGAGGCCGGGCTCCTTGGTGCGGCCGGTGTGAAGGCTGGCCAGAACTTCAGGGTGGTGGACAGGCGTGACGGAGACACCTGGGTCCCTGGAATGCACGGGGCACAGGAGGCTGGAAGGGAGAGTGGACAGTGGCTCCGAACATCTCAGTTCCCTGAAAGATGTTGGGCTGCAGGAGATGAGGAGTAGAAAATACTGGATTGGGGAGAAAGCGCTGAAGCCCTGGGAAGGGTGGTGGGAGGGGAAGCTACGGGTGGGCCAGGGAAGGCTGGGCACAGGGCTCCGGGCCAAGGAGAGGCAGAGGCCCTGACGTTCCTCTCCAGGCTGTGCGTCCATCCTCCCCCAGGCCCCGACACGAGCCACTGGCCCACGTCAAACTGGACCGCCCCACAGGAGTTTGTAATCCTGGGTTTCTCCGGGCAGCCCCTGGGGCCCCGGGTGCTGCCCTTTGCCCTCCTCCTGCCACTCTGTTTGCCACGCTGGCAGGAAGCCTGCTGATCCAGGGGCTGGCCATGGTGGACGCCGCCCTGCACCCACCACATACTTCTTCCTGGGGGATCTGTCTGCCAAGGAGGCGGCCTACGTGCCAGTGCTGACTCCGCGCGTGCTGGCCGGCCTCCTCCTGCTGCCTGGGGGCCGCCCAGATGGGCCTCTTTGTGGCTCCAGCTGCCTGCTGCTGGCGGCCGTGGCCCTGGGCCACTACCCGGCTGTCTGCCGCCCTCAGCTCACGACTGTGGGGCTCTGCTGGTGCCTTCTCGCCGCCTGCTGCGTTGGGGGCTCTCTCCTGGCCTTGGGCCTCACCACGGCCATCTTCCAGCTGCCCTTCCGCCGTGGGGGCTTAGTCAACCACGTCTTCCGCGACCTCCCGGCCGTGTTGGTGTTGGCCTGCGGGAACCGGGACCTGCAGGAGCACGTCCTGCTGGCGGCCTGTGTGCTGCTGGGGGTGCTGCCTCTGGCCCTGATCCTTTCTCCTACGCCAGGGCGGTGCTGGTCATCCTGGGGGGTTCCTGGGGCTGCGGGCCACCGCAAGGCCTTCAACACAGTGGCGTCCCATCTCACAGTGGCCTGGGCATGCTCCATGACGGCTGCGCCACGGCCACGTACGCCAGGCCACCGAGCAGCCACTCCCTGGAGGAGGACAGGCTGGTCTCATTCATCTACATCAACCTCACTTCCCCGCTCTACCCGGCCATCTACACGCTGCGGAACCGGGACGTGCAGGGGGCACTGCAGCGGGTGGTCAGCCCCAGGACACCAGGCGCCGTCCACCAGGCTGATGTCACCAAATGCTGGATGCCAGGTGGAGTCTGTTCTGAAATCTCTCCACCACCCTCGGATGGAAACCTCACATTCCAGAACCATCTGTGACTCCCCGAAGCCTACTGGACACAACCTGGGTGCAGCGGACAAGGACTCCAAAATCAGACTCCAGCCTGCTGCTTCTGCATCTAGTGACTTTTTTTTTTTTGATGTGGACCGTTTTAAAAGTCTTTATTGAATTTGTTACAATGTTGCTTCTGTTTTATGTTTTTGGGTTTTTGGCCATGAACTATGTGGGATCTTAGCTCCCCGACCAGGGATCGAACCCACACCCCCTGCACTGGAAGGTGAAGTCTTAACCACTGGACCACAAGGAAGTTCCTCTATTGACATTTTGAGCTGGAGAGTTCTCTCTGGTGGCAGGGGGATTGTCCCTGTGCATTGTAGGGCACTTAGCTGCACCCCTTGTCTCCACCCAGAAGATGCCAGTAGCACACACCACTCCCCCATCCAAGTTGTGATGATCAAAAATGTCACCAGACATTGCCAAACATTCCCTGGGGACAGGATCACCCCTGGTTGAGAACCACTGCTCTGAATCGTAGCCACACAGAATCTTTTGAAGAGGAGTGAGTAAGGAGTCTATGGCAGCACTGTTGATAATAGACAAAAACTGGAAATTATCCAAACATTCATGAACATAGAATAGATACAAACAGCTTGTGGCATATGCATGCGATGGAATACTACACAGCAATGAAAAAGAATGAACTACTGCTACTGGCAAAAAAATAAGGACCACCCAGATGTAATACTGAGTGTAAGAAGCAAGACACAAAGAACACTTCTGGATGCTTCCATTGAAATAAAGGCCAATGACAAACTCATCTGTGGCGGTTGATGTCATCATAGTAGTTAACTGGGGGAAGGGTTTGAATTGGCAGAGGGCACAGGGAGGTTGCCTGGGTACTGGAAACGTTCTATATCTTGACTTGGGTGGTGGTTACGTGGGTGTTTGTGCAAAACTTCACAGAGATGCATCCTTAAGATCGATGTAGTTTGTTGTACATGAAATGAACTGTGGCTGGTTCAAGCTATTCACAAAGACAAGCCTTCAAGTCATCATGCCTTCACTCATGCTGCTTTTTGCCCCTGGTACACTCTGTTTCCACTTATGAAAATCTCTTGTATTATTCAGTGATCCGTCCAGATACTGTACCTGTTGTAGACTGAAGGTGTCCCCACCCAAATTCACATGTTGCAATCTAATCACCATTATTAGTTTGTTATTGGGGGTGGGGTCTCTAGAAGTGATTAGGTCATGAAGGTGGAGCCCTCCTGAATGGAATTAGTGCCCTTATGAAAGAGGCCTGGAAGAGCTCCCTCACCCCTTCTGCCCTGTGAGGACCCAACAAGAAAGCAGTCTGTCTACGAGCCTGGAAGAAAGTTGTCACCACACTGAAGCTGCCGGCACCTTGACCTTGGACTTCCAGCCTCCAGAACTGTGAGAGATACATTTTTGTTGTTATAAGCCTCCAGCTCTATGGTATTCTGTTGTAGTCGCCCGAACGGACTAAAACGGCACCCTTTCCTTCCTCCTCTCAGTTGCAACAGTTGTCACTCTAGAATGTAATTTCAGCATCTGCTTCACTTCCCAATCACCTACCCAGTCCCCCACTTCCCCACTCACAATTAGGCTGTGAGCCCCATAATATAGCCAGATTGCAGATCCTGTTCTTACATTTTAAGATCCATGACCCTGGCAGTTCTTAATAAATGTTTGTTGGAGGAATAAGCCCTAGACAAGCTCTGAGTTCTTTGGGGTCTCACACACTGGCTGTAGGGAGGGGACACGGCTCTCGAGTCCTGCCAAGGACAAGAATCTCTAAGACTGACTCCTCTTTGGGGTCTTAGAGCATCAGAGCTGGCTGTGAAAACCCAGCTGGACAGCTTGGACCCAACTTTCCAATGCAGGGAGGCTTAGAAGCAACGCGTTTGTGTCTTGACATGATAAACTGCATTCGGAAAACTTGATAGCTCTGCTTGTACCCCCAAGGCCAGGGTCCCAGATTCCGTGAGGGGGAACTTTTCCTAAAAATGCCTCCTGAAGGGTCAGTCAGAAACTAGAAGTCTTAGAGCCAGATCAGTGCCGGTAAATACCGCCTACCTAACCTCCTGGCTGGAGAAACCACACGTCTATGAAAACTGATTCGAAGGCTGGGGAGAACTGATCTGTGCAGGCAACGTGGGACACCAGAATGACTATCAGCTGCCTCAGAAATCTCGTGAGTCTGTTTCTGTTTTGCAGATAAGTTCATTTGCATTATTTTTTAGATTCCACATATAAGCGATATCACATGGTATTTGTCTTTCTCTGTCTGGCTTACTTCACTTAGTATGATAATCTCTAGATTATAGAAAACAAACTTAGGGTTACCAATGGGGAAAGCGAGGGAGGGATAAATTAGGAGTTTGGGATTAACAGATACACACTACAATATAAAATAGGCAACGAACAAGGACCTACCGTATCGCACAAGGAACTATTCTCAATTTTTTTTTAATTTATTTTTGGCTGCGTTGGGTCTTCGTTGCTGCGCACGGGCTTTCTCTAGGTATGCGGGCTTAGTTGCTCCGCGGCATGTGGGATCTTCCCTGTCCAGGGCTTGAACCCGTGTCCCCTGCATTGACAGGCGGACTGTTAACCACTGCACCACCAGGGAAGTCCCTATACTCAATATTTTATAATAACCTATAAGGGAAAATAATCTGAAAAAGGATAGATTCATAAGTATAACTGAATCACTTTGCTGTACACCTGAAACTAACAACATTGTAAACCAACTATACTTCAATTTAAAAAAGAAAGACAGGAGGAAGAGACCAAAAAAAAGAAAGAAATCTCATGAAAGGGGGTCTCTGTCCATCTGTCCGTGCCGTCTTAGTTCTTACCTTCTGCTTCTCCCTGAGGCCAGTGCTCGGGACCCTGAGGCACACAGGAAGCCCCCCGTCAATTCCTTCCCAAATCCTACGGCTATGAGGAAGTCCTCACTCAAGAGACACTTAGGGCTGGCAGTCTAACAGGCCTGGTAGCTGTGGCTGATTTGTTCCAGCGCATCTCCCGAGACCGGGTGAGGCCTGAGGGCCACCAGCAGTCCTGTTATCCGCACTGTACATGATTGAGAGTGATGACCACAACCAAAGAAACCTTTGCATTTGACCGCCTGGTGGGGAGCCTTGGTGGGAGCTGTCAGGTTGCTGAGCACAGGTGGCTGCACCTGCTTTGGCGTTGAGGTAAGTCAGGGTAGCGGCGCAGCCTGCGTCTGCTGATGGTGGCCCTTCATCCCCAGGTTCCTTTAAAAGGTTATGCAGGGAATTCCCTGGCAGTGGTTAGGACTCCACGCTTCCACTGCAGGGGGCACGGGTTTGATCCCTGGTCGGGGAACTAGGATCCTGCACGGCGTGGCATTTTGGGTCTTCGGCCGAATTCTGTGGTGGGAAGTAGCAGCTCCGGGCCAGATTTAGATACTTTCAAAGGCTGACTGGCCCCTTTCCTCTCCCTCCTGCTGTACAAAGTCTTTCAAAATATTTTGAGTCTTGAGACGCATCAAGTTTCAAGTTTCAGTTTATTTATGTATTGAGAGATAATTGACACATAACATCCTATTGGTTTCAGGTAGTACAACACAATGATTCGCGACCTGTGTACATTGCGAAATGATCACCGTCATGACTGTAGTGAACATCACTTCATGTAACTGCCAAATTTTATTTTCTTGTGATAAGAACTTTCAAGATTCACTCACTCAGCAACTTTCGAAGATGCAATACAGTTCCAAGTTTCAGCTTCTAATTCTCTATTACCCGCCACGCTGACAACTGACTTGGCCTTGGGGATGTTACCATAAAGGTCTGCAGTGGAATCCCGGGCAGCCGGACTCATAGGCAGCTGCTTCCCCTCAGGGTGTCCCAATCAGCCTCACTGGGATCGGGCTCACCCCCACCAGCGCAGAGGCAGCAGGATCACCGGAGCTGGGACCTCGGAGCCTAGAACCAGTGCTTTGGTGAGTCGGTGGTGGCTGAGTGCTCATGGCAGGGTGCATCTCAGCCCTCACCTGCCCCGACAGGACCTTTTGGAAACCGGGGCCAAGTCTCCTAACAGTCAGCAGCTGGGTCTGTGCCTGGAGTGGGGAAGTACACCCAAAGTGTAACACCCACTGGGGGAGTTCACCCTCCACGGGGCAGCAACCTGTGGGAGACACAGCCACAGCCCGTTTGCCAGCCAAAGGCATTTCTCCACCAGCCAATTGCAAGACTCTACCATCCTGTTCCCAACTGTGAAGACTTCGTGAAATTAACACTTGTTAAGTGGAGCACAGGGTGCAGGACGATGAGTGGGTTCAGCAACAGACCACGGAGAAATCGAAATCGGCAAGTTTATTACTCACAGGGCCTGGACCAAGCACACAGCACACTGGGAGGGGCCCCGGGGGGGGTCAAGGCGGAGTGCAGACAGGGACTGGACTTGGCACACATCCCTTTATTAGGGTCCACGGGGGAGTGCTCTGGGGTTTCTAGGTTAGGACCAGATTGATCAATCCAAACCCAAAGAGCAGGGTTTTGGTAAGCTCACGGGGCTCCTGGCTAAGGGGTGCGTAAAGCTTACAGGCACTGGGAGGCAGGTGAGCTACTGATCACAAGGGCTGCGGGGCAGTCACTCCAGGGACTTACATCTGCTTGTGGCCGAGCGGCTGCTATAGGGCATGTCCTTGCACGAGGGGCTTGTGTCAGCTTAAGGTTCCTGCAGCCATCTGACCAAACACGATGGATGAGGCAGCAATACTAGAGAGCAGCTTAGCTAGACTCTGGACGGATATACATCAAGTACATCTAGATGTGAACTTATTTTTAGTTATTCAGCTAGGCATATATTGCATGTCTATATATGCATATATATATACATATATATTTCACACACATATGCATGTTAATGCACATCTTTTGTTAAATCTGAGCCAATACATCTTTGAATATTTACTTTTCTTCCGTTTTTTTCATTTTGTCTTTAAGGAGCTCCTGTTTGCTCTTCTCTCTGTTTTTTTGTTTTGTTTTTAGTATTTTTGGCCGTGCTTTGCAGCGTGCAGGATCTTAGTTCCCTGGCCAGGGATCGAACCCGTGCCCCCTGCAGTGGAAGCTTGGAGTCTTAACCACTGGACGCCAGGGAAGTGCCTGCTCTTCTCATTTGTATGTCTCTTCCCCCATTCTTTCACATTTTCCACCTCTCTATATACTGAATTCTGTGAATTGGCTTATGGTTCTGCCTTTCTGTTCCCATCTTCTTCAGCTGAGTATAATCTGTTTGACATGTAGAATATTTTAACGTTGAGTTTTAAATTTCAGTGACTATATTTTTCATTTCTAGACACGCTATGTGGTTCTTTTTCCAAATAAGCCAGTTATCTTTCTTTGTGTCTGCTTTCATGCAGTTTTGATTTTTTTTCATCATTTTTCAAGACAGTCATTTTTATAGAATTTCAGATTTTTCTATCACCTTAAAAGACTTGAGGTTTTTATTTTGTTAAAATGTCTGTTGACTTTCTTCACATTTTATAATTCTAGATTATGACCTCATCTTGGGTTTGTATGTCAGAACCCTGGGAAACACAGGTTGAGGGTGTCTTTCTCCAAGAATAGTTTGTGTTTGCTTCTGTAAAGTTGCTTCAAAGACCAGGACAAATTTCTATGTTAATTGTTCAGTTTTTCAACTGGGGCACGAGTAGAGCAAATTCACAATTCTAACTCGTAAGAGGTGCAGGTCACAGCTTGTGAATCATCAGGGTAAATTCTTTCCCTACCAGAGTCCAGGGAAAGACAGGCAAGCTTCCTGAGCAAATGAGCAGGTTTTTCTCTGGTCCATCCTTTCCCTATATGTACAGGCTTTTGAAATTTCTCAATTTATGAGGTATTTCAGTGCCAAGCCTTCTGCCTATAGCTTTTAACACCCAAGCTTCTGGGTAAACAAACCTACAGGGAAGCTTACAGCATCAACTCACACACTTTTCAGTTCCCTCTGGAACTGGCACCTGGAAACCTCACTGATTTTCTTGCAAGCTGAATTATGCATTTAAAAGAATGTCACCTGTTATTGTCCATAATTTCAAGTGGTTTACAGTGGAACATTTTTCACTTTAGGTGGTCCACTATACTGCCAGAAAAGGGAGTCCCAACCTTACTCATTTAACATGACTTATAAACTAGTTGATGGAGAGAGATCAGGGGATGTCATGAAATTGCTGGTTTCCAGATCCAGGGGGGCTCTGTAATACTTGCCAGCAAAGAAAAAACCAAATGGTGTGTGGTACGGTGTATGGACTTCCGGTTGAGTAGTAAATCCCAGTTATAACATATATTAAAGACAAAAGGGTGTAATTTAGTGTGGAAACTCTTGATAGATGTCATCCTACATATTATGGTATCTGTGTCTACAAGTTCACAATTATGTTCAACTACAAATGCAGTTCAAAAATAAGTAAAATAAAATTCTGTTTATGTAGCATCTCCAGGAACATAGTCCCCGCATACCCCTGGCATTGTTCTGTGGCTTATTCAGTCTGTTATATTAATGGTTTAAATTATTCACTTACAGCTCAATAGCCACAGTTAATGTAGACACAGATACACTTCATAGTTAAGTTTAAGTTTATCCTATAAAAATAGATCTCTCTAGAGCATCATTACCCTTCTATCCTTAGTTTTAAGAGAATAAGCATTTCCTAGTTCTCCAAGTTGGTAGGAAGGTCTGCCCACAGTGGCATTGGACTTCTTGCTGAAGGATTTTCCATGTTCACAAAATCCACAGGGTTTTCATTCCTAGATGTGTTGGGAATTCCTGATGAAAACTTCTCTCTCACTTTATCCGTACAGTTTCTCCCTGGTGTGAATTCTGTGGTGTCTGATGAGGTTCGCCTTCTGGGAGAACGTTTTCCCACAGTCAGAGCATTCATAGGGCTTCTTGCCCATATGGGTTCTCTTGTGTATGATGAGGCAGGAGTTTTGGGAGAAAGCCTTCCCGCATTCGCTGCACTCGTAGGGTTTCTCTCCAGTGTGAGTCCTCTGGTGAAGGATGAGGTGTGACTTCTGGAAGAAGGCTTTCCCACACTGGCTGCAGCCATAGGGCTTCTCTCCTGTGTGGATTCTGTAGTGGATAATGAGGCATGACTTCCGGGAGAAAGATTTCCCACATTCTTCGCAGCCATAGGGTTTCTCTCCCGTGTGGGATCTGTGGTGTTCGATGAGACGTGACTTGTGGGAGAAGATTTTCTCACAGTCTGAACACTTATAAGGCTTCTCTCCAGCCAGAATGGCCTCGGGTATGGAGAGGCTTGTTTCTGGGGAGAGCCTTTTACCGCATTTGCCATTTCCGCCGGGTTTCTCGTCTGTGTGGTTTCCCGGACGTTTTTTGCTGAGGCAAACCTTCTCCTCCCTCAGGCCATCCCCCTGGTCATTGCATCCAGAGGACTTCTCATCCCTGTGGACTCTCTGATGGGTGATGATTTCTGATTTATGGGAGAAGCCTTTCCCACATTTGGTACATTTGTGGGGTTTCTCGTTACTGTCGGTTCTCTGATCAGCATTAAGGGCTTGGTCATGGCTTAAAGCATTTCTACATTGGTTACATTCACGTGGGTGTGCCCCAGAATGTGGAGTTTCCAGCTTAGAATAGAGAAATAAGTTCCCCTGTGCATCATATTCAAATCTCCTTCTTGCAAGGTACGCGTTAGGAGTAACGCCTGCATTACCCGGCAAGGCTGCTCCACATGACTCGCACTTAGGGACCTGTTGTCCTGAAGAAACGACGTTTGTGTTCTGACAGGTGTTTTTTCCGACTGTGTTACATGCGTTTTGCCCTTCTGTGGTCAATTTTTTCTTGTCTAGGAGTGCAGCTTGCTTCAAAAGTTTGTTTTGGTGTTCCCGTTGTCTCTCTACTTGGGTATCAACTTGCAAAACTTCTAGGGAAAAAAATAAATAAGGACACAAACGTGTTATCTTTCCAGGAGCACATCACAGAACTAAACTATTTCAGAAATGTTTGGAAGGAGGATTAACTTCGTGGTTTCAAACCTGATTGCCCAGATTAAATAATCATAATCATAATCCTACTACAAACACTTCCTACTCCCTTGGCTTCTGAAAAGAAAAAAAAAAAATGAGAACTGATAACAGATAAAAACCCTGACGGTGAATATATGTAAGCTCTGCTATTATCAAGTCCGCACATTAAATTGGGAAGAAGGTGAAAACACACACAAGAGAAAAACTAGAGGATAGTGGACTCAAGGCATTGATGTGCTGATGAACCAGGTCACCAAGAGAAAAAGAAAACCCGATCTGTGTCAATTACCAATCTCCATGGTGAAAGCATTCCCCAATGTGACCAATTTGAGGATGACGTCACAGAATGCAGAGCCAGAGGATTCTGCCACCATTGGCCATCACAGGCCGGTACTAGCTCCAGCATCCCTAGGTAAGGGGAAGGCATAATAAGGAGGCCCCATCAGGAGATAAGGGTATTTAGGAATTATGAACGAAGACTAAAGACAGACCAGCGTTTTCAGGGGACTCTAGGGAGAAGGGTGTTTAGGAAATAGGAGCAAAGGACTTGGGCTGAATGAAGTGTGAGTTCCCCTCACTTTATTCCTAGGTTGCAAATAGGCTTTTCTCTCACCTGCACTTCCTGTGCCCTTCCCACCTTAACTTCCCCTCCATTCTGTATATCAAATTAATTTTCTCAAAGCATCAAGTTCTTTAACTGTTACAGGAATTCTCCTAGAGTCAGAGGTCCATTCTGCAGCGGTTTATTCTCACATGGATCTACGTGGTCTTTACGATGTCCAGTACATCGACACAAGAACCGCAGAACCGAATGCAAGCCATCCTTGCCCTGGGAAGATTCCCTGTTGTGTTCTGATTGCTCAGATGACCGTTTTTTTCATTTGGTTCCCTTAAAACCAAATCTGGCCAACAACCCAACCCTACGTGTCCCCTTCCCATATGCCTGCAGATCAGCCCCTCCACTAAACCCATACTGACATTCCTTGGGCAAGTTGGTTTCCACAGCACTGTGGAATCTACTTGGAGAATCTTAACTGTCGAATTCTTCATCCTATGCTTAGATATTTATTTGCTTTTCCTTTACTTACATTTTAAACCACAAATACCCCGCTATTTCACCTTGGGCACTAATACCCAGTGGAACCATGAAAATTCCTGTGTTTAGAAATATTTATGTTCCCTGAGCCCCACTGCTGAATTCCTAAGAGACAAAATCAATGCCTCGTGATCTTCCCCAGCAGAATTTTCTGGGTTGGGACCCAGCCAGGGGGCATTTTTAAAGCTCCCCCAGTGAGTCTGGGGTACCCCCCTGATTAATAACAACTGCCCTGGGCTTCCCTGGTGGCGCAGTGGTTGAGAATCCGCCTGCCAATGCAGGGGACGCGGGTTCGAGCCCTGGCCCGGGAGGATCCCACATGCCGTGGAGCAATTAAGCCTGTGAGCCACAACTACTGAGCCCACGTGCCGCAACTAATGAAGCCCACGCGCTTAGAGCTCCACAACAAGAGAGGCCACCGCAATGAGAAGCCCACACACCTCAATGAAGAGCAGCCCCTGCTCGCCGCAACTACAGAAAGGCCGCGCGTGCCAACGAAGACCCAACACAGCCAAAAATAAATAAATAAAATAATTTAAAAAAATAAAAAATAAAAAAAATAACAACTGCCCTGAACTTGATAAAGCTTGATAAAGGATCCTTGTCCTAGACAGTAGAGGGGGTTAGTCGATATATACTATGTGTGTCGTGCAGAAATAAAGATGAATAAAACAAAGGCTCAGCTCCCTGTGGGATCACACTGAGATGGGGGAAAAGCTTCAGTTATAACGTATGGGGACATGTTACATGGTCTTGAAAGAAGATGAATTTAAAGTCATATAAAAGGTAGAAAATAACTGTTTAAGGCATTGAAAGAAAAGACAACTAAAATAAAAATGAGTGACACAAAATAACACAGTTATTTTAAAATAGGACAAATCTATGAACCCCTGAAAGCATGAGAAAGCCTGTTTTATAACCATGGGGACAAGCGTAAGCCTGAAGATTCTAGAGAAAGACTGAGAAAGCAAGGTCTTAGAAGGGGGCAGTGGAATAGAATGAACGGATAAACTTTAAAAGAATATGTCTTTCTCTAAAATCCAGGGAAAGGAGAGTAATCATGCAGTGATGTGTGATGTATGCAGGTAGCAGGAATCATTTGGGCATTTCAAGGTCTTGAGTCAGATGTCCATAGCTGCTTGCAAAGATCCAAGGCTTTTAACACAGATGTGTGAAACAAAAATAATCTTGAGGTTCTGCTTTGTGACCTCCTGGAATCTCATGTCCATTGTCCCCCTCCAGGCTGGTTCTCTCTCACCTGGAAAGCTCCATCTGAGGATCTCTTCCTCCTTCATCCACGGTTCTTGCCCCTGCTCCAACCTGGAGATCACAGCTGGTTTGGTGACTTGACACCCTATTCATAAGAAATAGTTACAAGATTTATGCTGAGCCACCTGGGCCATCCAAGGAAGCAGAAGGCTCAGACTGCCTAATGAACATTTACATCTCAGCCAAAGAATAGCTATTTCACTTGGGAGGAAAATTCACTAATAATCCAGGTGAGATGAGAACAAGACTTACTGATGGCTGAAACCCAAGGCCAAACATTTTTAGTACTTAACAGGGTCTTACGTAACAGAGAAAAGAAAGGAGCTCAGACATAAGTGGCGGGCAGGGGGGACACAGGAAGCCTTCCTCACCCACGGAGACCAGGTGGCTGTAGTTCTCCAGCATCACATCCCGGTACAGGGTCCTCTGCGTAGGGTCCAGCTGCTGCCACTCCTTACGGGTGAAGCCCACAGCCACGTCTCTGAATGATAACGACCCCTGGAACAGCACACTCCTGATTAAACTGGAGTGCTCAGCACAGAGTATTATGGCAAAGGTGTAGAGGAGATGGATCTTACCACCTTCGGAGGTCAGGTTTCCCCATGTTAAGTTATATAGGAAGCTTAGCATGCCCCTAACTTTGTACGACATTTCGTGGGAGAGAAAAAAAAAGATCATTAGAAAATATCTCACTTCTGGATCTCTATTCACCCATTCATCCATCCATCCATCCAGTGAGCAAGCATCTACGGAAGACCAGGTACGTCACTGGTGTTCTGCATGGTGCTTGGGGTTGAAGCTCAATGTCACATTGCTTCTGTTCTAGGGCGTTTGTAGTCTGGTGGAGTGAGATGAATGTAAGAGACTGCTGTGTGGTAACAATACACTGAAGGCTATGACGGGAGTACGTTTAAGTACAGAACAGACACAAGACAGCAGTCAAATTCAACATCCTGATGTCAAGTTAAGCCTCATTGGAGGTTACATGTCAGCAGAATCATGAAAAATAAATTGTTCTGATGTTTGAAGGATATTCCTATCAAGAGGCATGGCCTGAGCAAAGGCAAGGAAAATCTGGTAGGAATTGCAAATGTATGACAGTAGGGAATGACAGTATAGAGTATAAGGGGATATGTGTGTGTGTGAGAGAGAGAGAGAGAGAGAGAGAGAGAGGTCAGATCATAGGACAAACAAAGGGTTTTTCATACATGCAATGGGGACTCCATCACAGTATTTAAGAAGGGGAGTTACCAAAGACAAACTGATGTGGAAGATCACTGCATCACTGAGGTGGGAATCACTGGGAGGGAGAGAATGAATAAAATTCGGGTACAATTATAGGGAATTCTCTGGCAGCCCAGTGGTTAGGACTCCGTGTTTCCACTGCAGGGGGCACGGGTTGGGGAACTAAGATCCTGCAAGTCACATGGCGCAGCCAAAAAAATAATAATAATAAAAATAAAGTTCAGGTACAATTATAATCATCAACATGTGATATGGTCAAAATTAAGGTGGCAACAAGAGTAAAGCAGAGAAAGGATTCCATGTACACAGAACAGGGCTTGGCTCCCCTTCCCTTTCACCCTCCTTTTCTCTCTCTCTGAATGAATTAAGGACCAAAATTACAATTTCAATTTATACTGAGTATTTTTTATATATTTTTATATATATATATATATATATATATATATAATGTTAGTGTGTAAATCATTTTAAATATTGGTTTAGAAGTTAAAAGGCTGAAGTGTAAGAATAATTATCTCAGATTTGTTAATGGAAACAATGTAAAAGGAAGTAAAATCTGTCATAACAAAGTGGAGGGGGGAGTAAAGTGCAGAGTTTCTGTATGCGATTGAAGTTAAGTTGTTATCAGGTTAAAACAGACTGTTAACACTATTAAATATTCAATGCAAGCCTCATGGTAACCACAACAAAATCTACAGTAGGTATAAAAAAAAAAAGAGAAAAAAAAGTATATCACTACCAAAACTATCCTCAAACCACAACAAAGAGAGGAAGAGACGAACAAGAGAACTACAAAACAGAAAACAATTAGCAAAATGGCAATAGTAAGTCCTTACCTATCAATAATTACTTTAAATATAAGTGAACTAAACTCCTCAAATTAAAACACATACTGTGGCCAAATGGATAAAAGAGCAAGACCCAACAATTTTCTGTCCACAGGAGACTCACTTTAGATATAAGGGCACATATTGGGTGAAGGGATGGAGAAAGATATTCCATGCAGATGGTAATCAAAAGAGAGTAGGTCTGGCTATACTTATATCAGACAAAATAGACTTTAAGTCAAAAACTATCACAAGAGACAAAGTCATATAATTATAAAAGGGTCCATTCAACAGGAAGATGTAACAATTATGTATGCACAGACCATCAAAGCACCTAAATATGTGAAACAACATGGACAAATCAGAAGAGAGAAATAGACAGCAACACAATAATAGTAGCAGACTTAAATACTCCATTCTCATCCAGACAGAAAACCAACAAGGAAAGAGCAGAACTGAACACTATAGACCAAATAGCCCTAAAAGATATATACAGAACATTCTACCCAACAGCAGCATAATACTCATTCTTCTCAAGAGCACACAGAACGTTCTCCAGGATGGATCATATGTTAGGACATAAAAGCAAATCTTAACAAATTTAAGAAGACTGAAATTATTCATAAAGCTAGAAATCAATAATAGTAATGAAAATGGGAAAAAAATTTAATACATGGAAATTAAATAACCACACTCTTAAACACCATTGGGTCAAAGAAGAAATCAAAAAGGAAATTAGAAAATATCTCAAGACAAATGAAAATGAAAACATAACAAACCAAAACTTAGGAGACGTAGCAAAAGCAGCACTAAGAGGCAAGTTTATAGCAATAAACACCTACTTTTAAAAAAAAGACACCAAATAAACAACCTAACTTTGCACCTTTAGAAAAAGAACAAACTAAGCCCAAATTAGCAGGGTTTTTTGAAAAGATAAAATTGAGAAACCCTTAGCTAGACTAAGGGGAAAAAAAGAGAAGACTGGAATATATAAGATCAGAAATGAAAGAGGAGACATTACAACTCATGCCACAGAAATAAAAAGGATCATAAGGACTATGATGAACAATTATACACCAACAAATTGGACAACCTAGGAGAAATGGATACATTTCTAAAAAAATACAACCTACTAATACTGAATCAAGAAGAAATAGAAAGCCTGAGCAGACCAGTAACAAATAAAGAGAATGAAGAAGTAACCAAAAAACTGTCAAACTGTCAACAAAGAAAAGCCCAGGAACTTTATGAGTGAATTCTACCAAAAATTCAAAGAAGAATTTGTACCAATCTTTCTTAAACTCTTCCAAAAAACAGAAGAGGGAATCCTTCCAAACTCATTCTATGAGGCCAGCATCATCCTGATATCAAAACCAAAGATACCACAAGTAAACTCAGGCCAATATCCCTGATAAACACAGATGCAGAAATCCTCGACAAAAGACTAACACAGTAAATTCAACAGCACGTTCAAAGAATCATAAACCATGACCAAGTAGGATTTATCCCTGGGATGCAAGGATGGTTCAACATATGAAAACCAGTCACTGTGATTCACTACATTAACAGAATGAAGGATAAAAGTCACATAATCATCTCAACAGATGCATAAAAAGCATTTGACAAAATTCAACACCCTTTTATGATAAAAACTCTCAACAAATTAGGTATAGAAGGAACTTACCTCAACACAATAAAGGCCATTTATGAAAAGCCCACAGCTAACACCATACTCAATGGTGAAAAGCTGAAAGCTTTCCCTCTAAGTTCTGGAACAGGGCAAGGATGCCCACTCTTGCCTCTCCTATTCAACACAGTACTGGAAGTCCAGCCAGAGCAATTAGGCAAGAAAAAGAAATAAAAGGCATCCACATCAGAAATGAGGAAATAAAGGTATCTGTTTGCAGATGATGTTATCTTAGTGCAGGGTATCAAAGAGATGTCTATATTCCCATTTCATTGCAGCATTATTCACAATAACCCAAGAGATGGAAACAGCCCAAGTGTCCATCAGTGGGTGAATGGATAAAGAAAATGTGGTATATATATATATACATACAGTGAAATATTATTCAGCCATGAGAAAGAAAATCCCACCATTTGTGACAACATAAATGGACCTGAAGGACATTATGCTAAGTGAAATAAGCCGGACAAATACCACAATGATCTCACTCTTATGAGGAATCCCAAATAGTGAAATTCATAGAATTAGAGAGTAGCATGGAGGTTACCAGGGGCTGGGAGGAGGAGGAAATTGGAAGGTTGGTCAAAGGATTCAAAGATGAGAAGATGAGAAACTTCTGGAGATCTACTGTGCAGCATCATGCCTGTGTTTAACAATACTGTATTGTATACCTAAAAATTTGCTAAGAGGATAGATCTTATGTTAAATGCTCCTACCTCAAAAGAAAAAGTTATAAAGGTGGGGGAAGGGGAATTTTTGGAGGCGATGGATAAGTTTATGGCCTTAACCGTGGTGATGGTTTCATGGGTGTACACTTATCTGTAAACTCATCAAATTGTGTACATTAAATATGTACAGATTGAATGTCAATCATACCTCAAAGTGGTTTAAAAATATAAAAATTTCTAATAGTCACTTTTAAACAGTAAAAAAAAAATTTTAATCTCTCTTTAACCTAATCTATCCAAAATATAATTTCAACATATCATAATTATTTTAAAATCACTGATATAGTTTTCATTCTTTTTTAATCATATCACATCTTCAAAACCTGATGTGTATTTTCCACGTAAGGTACATCTCAATTCAGACACTATTTTCAGTTTCACTTTGCTGAAATGTAGTCCTATCAAAACAAAGTTGTGTTTCCTGAAAAAATATTTACTCTGATTCAGTTTTTAAATTGAAATGTAATTGAAAGTTTCAGAACCACAGTCACATTAACCACACTTTGGATGCTCAGTATCTACCTGTGGCTACTGGCTACCGTGATGGACAATGCATGTCTAGAACACACCAATACTACTGGATTCCTTTGCTGGGAATTTGCTATTGGTAGATAAAACTACAGTTTAATCATTAAGGGCCCAGTTCTATGTCTGTCTGTCTGCCTGCATTCAGATCCCAGCTCCATCGCCTAATGGATTTTAACATCTCTAGCCTCAGTTTGTTCATCTGTAAAATGAGGGAAGGAGTTAATGGTAATATCTATCTCACAGGTTTATTCATGAAACAATATACGAAAAACACAGAGACCGGCACATAAGTGCTCAACAGATAGTTTTATAAGTTTTATTGTCATTATCTTTATCACACATAGCCATAACAGGGAGAAGCTCCCAGTGAGACTTGGTTTCCTACAAAACAAGTTTCCCCCAGAAGACACCAAATGAAACCTCCAGCTTCACATACAGGTCTGACAGCCTCATGTTGTGGTCAGCTCTCTCCTCTGAGGAGGCTGTGGTGTCACCACCTGGTTTTCAACCTCTCAGACTGGTCCTGTCCCAGATGTTCCTGGAATCAGATATCCAGATAGTCCTAGCTTTATTAAGTACAGACACTCCCATCAAGACAGGTCCCTACACCTGAAACTAACACAACACTGTAAGTCAACTATACTTCAATTAAAAAAAAAAAAAAGCGCCTGTAGATAGAGCATTCTGCAGCAAAAAAGACAGGTCCCTGAGCTCAAAACCAACACCCTGTGAATGCTTGCCTTCCTGGAGTGGACGGCTGCAACGTTTATCCACCAGGTCTCATCTTCCTCTGGGACTAACATCCTCCTTCCTCCCCACCCCAAGCACATGGTGCTCCTGGGAGCGCCCCTCTGCAGACCCAGCCCCTCAGCCCTCGAACTAAGCAGGACCAATCCCAGTCTTTCCCAAAGATCTTTCAAACTGGCCCTATGAAAGGGGACTTCGTCCCATTCTGCGGCAGAACTTGTCGATGTGAGAGCTGATGGCCACCCTATTTCCGGCCATACGGATGAAGTCGGCATGAGGAAAGGAGTCACAGAAACAGGGACAAGAGAACAAGAGAGACACCTGGTGAGATCTGGGTCCCTGGGCGGAACTCTCCCAGTCCCAGCTGCACGCCTGCTCTTCCCAGTTTGGGGTGCTGCCTAGATTTTTGTCTTTGTCCTCAACTAGCTCTGGCTGGGTTTCGCGCTCTTGTAACTTCCAGGATTCTGACCAGTGCACTTCAAGTTCATGCAACCCTAGAGCCCGGGGTAAAGAGGGAGGCCCTTTAGGAACAGAGACATGTGAGAATGACCGGCTGACAGAACACAACGATATCATGATGTCTGAAGAAAGATAATGACGACCAGTGAGAAAGGACGCAAGGGAGGTCAAGGGCAATGGGTGAGGTCTAAGTCACGGAGAGAGAAGGGGGCAGGCGAGCTCGCACAATCTTCCCTCCTACCCCTGCCGAAGACGGAAGCTTTGAGCTGTTTAAGCTCCATCTGTGTCAAAAATGATTATGAACAGCAGTTTGAAGAACATGCCACTCACTCATTCCTCTAGATCATTCAGTGTTTTATCTAGGTCAGTGTGAACCGTAACACAGCTGTTTATGCAGACCTGAGTGTTTGGATTCCTCCAACAACTGTAATCACAGATTTCTGCACTGGCACAACATCCATTCTTTATACTGGAAAAAAAAAAAGTCACAGGAGATCTGCTGTTGTGTTTATTTGAATGTTGCTATCATTGAGGAACCTGCCTGCTATATCTCACGTATGAAGACACATCACATAAATGTCTAAATATCCTAAAAAGCTTTATTCCCCCTGAGAAGGTGATATGCTTGTCCCAGACAACACAAGTCATATATGGGATGGAATCTGTCTTTTTAAAGTGCCGGGCATGTCAGACATAAATTTAGAGAGCAGCTAATAAACTGCAGCAGCCTCTGTACTGCCCCCACCCTGCCTTTCCCATGGCCTTGATCGTCCGCTCTCTTCCTATTTTCACGGATCCTGATTTCTGTTTGCATTGTGTTTGATTGGATTAATTCTTACAAGCATCCTGAAATCCACGGTAAAACAAGAAGCGCAGTTGAAAGCAATGCCACACTCACCTGGCACATGGTCCTTCCTTGCTGGTCTGGGAAAAGCAGACACCTGTGGAGGCAGAGATTGGGGTGGGGGGAGAAGAGGACATGAGAGGCCAAGCTTGCCTCCAGCCTCAGAGTCAACTGCTCTAACACCCCAGGCACGGGGTGGCATGGGGGCTCCTCCCAAGAACCCCGTTTATCAGAGCAAAGCCCTCACCTTGGAATGTGATGGGGACCCAACTTTGAGGCTTGAACCTGAATTATTTTTCTACTTAATGAATACACATCCCTGAGTCGCAGTAATCAATGTGCAATTTACTACCCTCCCCTGCCACTACCCAGAAATTTAATTAATAGAAATTTATTCTGAAGAAACAGTCATGAGTTCGGGCAAAGATTTAGCGGCCAAGATATTTATTACAATCTGGTAAAACTCTGAAAAAACAGAAATAACTAAATATCCAACTATAGAGGACGAGTTAAATGAATATACCACAACCAAAGAGAAATAAACATTATGTAGCTAATAAAAATAAAACCATAGAAGACAATTTATTGATCGTATACTGGCAACTGAAAAAGGTGGTTGAAAACTATTTGATCTCACACACACACACGCACACACACACACTCACACAGAATAGTCTCTGAAATGATGGAAGACAAAATGCAAGTAGTAGTTAGCGTTGCACAGTTGGATAATGCCCAATTTTACATTTTTTTCTTTGTACTTAGATGAATCTTCTAAGCTCTTCTATGACAAATGGGCATTTCATATATGATCATGCCTTTAAAATTATCATTTTAAAAATATCTGTAGCCTACTAATCTTCTAACCCAAAGCTTCTATCACCATTCCTGCCCCTGGTGTTGAGGAAATTCACAGGAAAATATAAAAATGGGTTCTAGAAGGTGGAGTCCGTTCAATGGCACTTAGCTAAGGCAACTGGAGGTCTATTAACCTGGGGCGCTCAGTTCTATCCGTGGATCCTGCTAAGTTTTGTTTGCTTCTCCTCTCGTAGTTGTAGTTTCTCGACAGTAAATTTTATTATTAAGACCTGTTCTGGGCTGAACTGTGCTCATCTCTGCCCAGGAAGTGGTCCCGTTCTGGCTCTGCCACTTACCAAATATGGGACAAGATCTGATGACTTCTCCTGAGCCCTCCTCCTTTCCTCATTTTCCCAGGGAACCGGAACACGAAGGTTCAGGAGCAAATTTACTGTGGCTGGAAGCATCAACTGGACCCCACACCTATCTCTCCTGAATAGACACGAGGTTGGTCCTAGGTAAGTTCCTACTCAGGATAGAGACACACTGGAGTTTGATCCAAGAATTCTGCAGAGACACTAAAACTCTAGAATTACAGAAACTCCATAAAGAATTCTGAGGGTGTCTTTTTTAAAAAAATTGGAGGCTACCTAAGTGCTTAAAAATAAGAGATTGGTTAATAAATTATGATACAATTAAAGCATGCCAAGCTATGAATCAACTTAAAATATTATAAATATTTGACATGGAATGATCTTCCAACAACACCAGCAAGTGAAAGAAGCAGGATACATAGCATATGACTCACAGACGCGTAACAGGAGAATGGATGGGATTTTTTCCCACGTGCCTGGAAATTTCAGCTAAATCCCAAACACCCCAGTTCTAAGGAGGAGCTTCCAGACACACCCTAACAGATTCCTTCCTTTGGGGGAGGGAATTATCGAAGGAGAGCTGTCTGTTGAGCAAGTGTACCGTGGGCTTGCCTCCCGTCCTAGTCGGGGATTGCTCCCCTTGCAAGCCAAGAGGGGGTGTGCTCCAAGAAAACTGTTCATGGGTGCTGGAGGGAGCCTGGAAAAAGGGAGAACTACAGCCCCAGGCTGGCGTATGTCCAGCTGCAGAAGCTCCCCAGAGGGGGGCTCCTTTGAATGTTCAGGGCATGCAGGAACCCAGAAACAGGAGTCAGCTCTCCAGCTGAAGAATTCAGAAGTCAGAGGCCCCCCACGGCAGCCAGGGGAGGGGAGGGCGCAAGAGCGGAAGCCAGCTGCACGTTTGCTGGATCAAGGATGGGAGGGTTCCCGGGGGAGCCAAGTGGATGCTGGGGAGGCTAAGTGGGCTTAAAGCCCTACTGCAGGGGTGCTGATGAAGCAGGCTGCTGGCAGGTGAAGAGAGCCGGTCCTGAGGGGCAGGACCACTGAGCCAAGAGCATGGAGGTCTGCAGAGAGCCACTGCTGGTGTCCCAGGCTGGGCACCCCGACAAAGGGCCATCACATGGCCTCCTGCAGAGTTGAGGGCAGCCAGCACTAGGCAGGTGAGAGCTACAAATAACACCAAGCAGGGGAAAATCTGAGCTATTTTCTCCTCTACTCTCCCCTCCTCGTACCCTGACCCTGGAGGAGAAAGGAGGGAATCCAGTGAGAAGGAAGAATCGAGGAGCAGAGACAGAACACATCACATGCCCTTCCCATGGCGAGGCCCCAGACCTCTTGCTCCACATGGGGGAGGGAGAAGCTGGAGACTGGACATGAGAGTGAGATGTTCACAGACAGCTGGCAACTGAGGGGGGCCTATTCTATTATAACCTGAAGTGACCCAACAGCTATGGGGTTCCCTGAGATAACATCCTGGAGGGGAAGTACAATGGGTTGAATTGTGTTCCCCCAAAAGCTCTGTCGAAGGTTTAGCCCCCAGGACCTCAGAACATGACCTTACTTAGTAGGAGGGTCTTTGCAGACGATCAAGTGAAAATGAGGTCACTGGGGTGGATCTTAAGGCAATATGCCTGCGTCCTTATGAAAAGGGGAAATTTAGACACAGAGACAGAGGTCAGGGTGATGCAGCAGAAACCACGGATTGCCAGCAGAGCTCCAGAAGCTCGGGGAGAGGCCTGGAGCAGGTCCTCCCTCATGGCCTCAGAGGAACCAAGCCTGCCCACACCCTGATCTCAGACTTCCAGCCTCCTGAACTGTGTGAGACTCGATTTCTGTTGTGTAAGCCACTCAGTCTGTGGTACTTGTGATGGCGGCCCCAGGAAGCTAATACAGGAAGGCGGGCCCAACAGCGTGGCTCAAAAACAGTGGTCTGTGACCCTCTACTCCATTTCCTGCTTCATCGTCATGGAATGGGTTTTCATAAACATGTAAAGAAAAAACTTCTATAGAAAACACGCAAAATGTTAGCAATGGTTACCTTCACACGGTAGGATTTGTTTTTCACATTTTCTAATTTTTTCAACAGTAAACGTGCTCATTGTTTAATACTTAAGTATGGCATAAAAATATACATATATCATCTTACTGGGTTCTCTCTCCATGACCTCCTATCAGAGTCCTGCCCCTGGAGGAGAGGAAATCCGTGAGAAGGTCTGAAGGGGTGGAGGGTGGGGAGGGGCGGGGCTTAGCGATGAGGGCCCCGCCCAGCCTCCTCCGGACAGGAGCCCTGGGGGCTAGTGCTGGCTCGGCCTCTAGTAAGCTGGGTGGCTCTGAACACCTCTCTCACGCCCATTTTCTTTCGTCTTTAACAGGAGAAGGAAAAACGAAATACTCTTAGGTTAAGGAAGCAACGTCTGGGCCTTGACTCAACTAGAAGGGGGGGTGGGGTTAGAGGTCACTAGAAGTCAGGTGCGGAGGTGACAGTGGGATGGGAGGAGCTACACATCTAGCTGGATGGACAGCAGAGAATGAGAGTAAACGTGAATGAGTGGAGAGGAATTGGTGGTTGGGGGGTTCACCCTCAGAGCCATGGGGGTCCCTTCCCTGCTAGTTCATGCTTCTCACGCCCTAAAGCAAGAGACCACCCCCTCTCCTCCTACCAAACCTTCCCCTAAATCAAGTCCTAGATGATCCCCTAAGGCAATGACATCACCCCAATTCTGCCTGCAAAGCGGGTCCCGGGCTGTTGTAGGGGCACTTTTCGGGGGGCTGCCCCAGATTGTGAGCCTCCAACTTCAGCCCTAAGCTACGGAGCGGGTGAGAGAGGGATCCCCCTTGCCAAGGAGATGGCTGCTCCCCGGGTCACCTTCCTTACGCCTGGGATTTGAGGACCGGGACCTATTCTGATCGACACAGCTCTGCGCTCCTGCTGAGGACTTACCGTCAGCTGGAGGCTCAGCTCCGGCCTCGGAGACTCTGCAGGTAGAAGCGGGTAGAAAGAAGCTTGAATATGCAGACAGGACAGAGCCGCCCTGGCTACAGTCCGATTCTAAGCCTTTGCAAAGACACTAAGAAAACCTGCAAATAAATAGACGACATAGTGAGACTCGGGTCAAAATATCGGCAGGACACTTTACCTCTGAGTTGGAAACGGATGGGGGTCAGAGGGGGAGTCTGGAAGAACGAAAGCCCAAGAAGGAGCCGGTGCATCGTCTCTGGCTTTGAAGACAGACGTGAGTGTGAGAAGATGCTGAGACAGGCCCTCAGCCGACAGTGGGCAGGGACGCAGGGGCCTCCGACCTAAACCGCCAGAAACTCACTTCCCCTGACCCCGAACTCCTGGAGCGGACTCTCCCCCGGAGCGCCGGAGAAGAGGCCGCCCCGTCCAGTGCCTTGATTTTGGCCTTAGAGACCCGAGCAGAGAGCGTGGCCATCCCACTGGGACGTCTGGCCTCCGAGCTGTGAGCTGCTTTAAACAACTAAATGTGTGGTGATTTGTTTGTTATACAGATATAGAGGAAGAACACAGACAGGGCGGAGCTGGAGACCACGTGGAGACTCCCTGGGTAGTGAAGGCCTACAGGAGGGGAGTGGCTGCCATTGCTGGAAACGCGAGAAGCCCCATCCTTCCCGAAATTTCTCTCCTGAGGAACAAAAGCCCTGTGTTGCTGGGGGAAGGTTAGCAAAACCCTGTTGCTCCCAGAGCACTGGTAAGACCCACGGCATGTGGCAGGAAAAAGAAACAAACACACACTATCCCCATGGGAGAGGGGCAGACATAGGTCCTGGGCTCAGACTTTTAGAGCCGCCAACCTCGCGGGGAGGGGCAGCATCCCCAAGACCCCAGGACCCTCCTGAGACTGAGACACAAAGAGCACCCTGCCCCTCCTCCAGCAGGCCAGCCAGCACCGAGGAGCAGGCGAGAGTGCCAGCAGGAGGAGGGTCAAGGGGCACCGGGGGGGGGGGGGGGGGGCGGGGAGGGAAGCCGGCCACGAAGCGGGGACCAGCAACCAGCCGGCTCCAAGCACAGAGCCACGCCAGCCGAGGCTGACAGTAACCATAGCGACAACAAATGCCAGCCTTGCGCAGCTGGCAACTGCTGACCAGTCTTGTCGCAACCAAACTCCTGCACTCCCAGCTCCGCACGCTGAAACGGCCCAGCAGAAGTCTCCCACACACAATGCGTGGCATTCATTTTAAAAATTCGGAGACAGACAAAAAACAAGAAAGAACGACCCACTGGAAGGAGACAAAGCAATGACCAGAAATCAACTCGATCTTAGGTCCGTGTCCCCAGCAAATGTACACGATGCGTATGCAGCTCAAATGCACCTGAACACTGACGCGACGCAACAAGGGGAAACTGACAAATCGTCAATCACAGCAAAAAGAGTTTAGTATATACTTTTAGAAATGAAGATCTAAGATACAAAAAAAAACCCAGTAAGAATATATAAGATGTGAATAACAATTTAAAAGCTTGACCTATTGGATCAGACAGAAGAATGAACTCAATAGTTAGAGAAATATACATTTTTTAAAGTGCATCTGATACAGTTATAAAATTGACAAGCTAAAAAATAAACCTAAACCCATCTTTTAAAAATCAATACTGCATAGATGCCACTCTCTAAACCAAAAAGTAATAAAATCAGAAAATAAAAAGAATGCAAAAATATTTACAACGACTACAAAACTAGTACATACCAAAATTGGTAGATATTTACAAACACATACTTAAAGGAAAATTATAGCCCTAAGATAGGCATTAAATTAAAACTGGAAATTAATGACATTCAATGCAGGAGGCTAGCACAGAAAAAAAGAATAAACTCAAAAGACGTAAAAAAAAGGACAAGTATGAGAAGAAATTTTAAAAGAAATAATTAAGCAGATTTAAAAAAAAATTCTGCCACAAATATATTACCTGAATCTAATCATGATGTAACACCAGACAATCCTAAACTGAGGAATGTTCTATAATAACCGGCCTGTATTCTTCAATAACGTCAATGTTATTAAAGACAATGAAAGATTGGGAAACTGTTCCAGAGTAAAGGAAACTAAAGAGATGTGGGGGGGAATGCAATGCATGATCCTGGATTTTCTTTAGCTAGAAAAATTATTATTGAGACAGCTAGTAAAATGTGACTAAGATCTGTGGGTTAGACAATGGTATTGCATCGATGTTAATCTCCTGATTTTGATCATTATACTGTGGTTGTGTGACAGAATGCCATTGTTTTTGGGAAATGCACATTGAAGTATTTACACACACACACACACACACACACACACACATATATATGTATAGCGGGGGGAGGAAAAGCAGGATAAAGCTAACTGTATTAGCAATGAGCCAAAGATGGCCCCTGGGTGGTTTATTTCTTCACGGCAGACTGAGACCAATAGCTCAAAAGACCAGCAGCCCCAAACTCAAATGTCAACACATGTGAATGTTTTAAACACAGTCCAACTATCAGCACATTTTTAGTCATTTAGAAGCTGCATGCTTTACCCACCCTGTGAAACCACACCCAGTTTCTGATAGCTATAAACCATGTGGCTATAAAGACCCCAAGTGGCTTTGACCCAGAGATACCCCCCGGGGTTCCCTCATCCTCCTCTCTTCTGGGAAGTGGCCCCTGGGCCCCAGCCTCTGGGTGGGCTCATGCTGCAAGAGGCCCCTTTCTCCCTCATGCACGCGTAAATAATCTTTGCATGTGTTCCTGCCACTTCATGTTTACATCTTTTTCCTTAACTGGCCCTGAAATCCATCCAGTTCCTGGAACCCCCTATACAAATGTGGTAAAATGTTAGCATTTGGGGAATGTAGATGAAAAGTATTTAGGAATTCTTTGCACCATTCTACTATTATGAGTTTTCTGTAATTCTGAAATTGTGCCCAAAATGAAAAATTAAAAAGAAAAAACTAAATTCAATTCTTGGAAAGGATTTATTACAACTAATAAAAGAGTTGTTTTGTATTTTAAACTAATGAAATAGACTAACTTCAGGCAGGACTGATCAAGAAAACAAGAAAAGGCAAAAAAGAAACAATTTTTGGACATGAAAAAGGAGACAATTACAGATATACTGGAGTTTTCTTTTAATTATGAGACTATTATACATAATGCCATTACGTTGAAATTAAATTGGACAACTTTCCAGAAAAATATAAATTAATCAAATTAACAAAGCAACAGAAAACCAAATAAACTACAGAACATTAAGTGAAATGGATCCATACTCAAAAATATACCCATCAAAGAAACATTAGGTCCAATCAAATTCCATTCAAAATTTTTGCAATGTGCACAAGGCAAAACCGATTTGTATCTAGACAACACACTAAAAATAAATAAGAAAAAAATCCAAAAGAAATACAGGCGAAGGTGATGAATATACAACACAAGCGTATATATTGTTTATGGCTACATGCATATTTGTAAGTAAAACAAAACATGAAAGGATACATAGCAATTTCAGAAGTTACCTCTGAGTGAGAAGAAGGAAAATCCAATAGGGAGGGTGCAAAAAGCCTTCAAGTATTTATGAGGTTTTAGTTCTTCAGAAAATCTGAAGCAAATAAACCTTTAACATTTGCTCAGTCTAGATGATAAGCACAAAGGTTTCTTTCTTTTTCTACTTTGCATGCTGCATTTGAGATATTTCCTAATATAACTTGTTATAAATAGTAGGAAAAAATATATATATAGAACTATGGATTGCAGTAGGGGAAACTCCTTCAATAAAACCCAAGTTCAAGGCATAATGGAAAAACCTGATACATTTGACCTTATCAAGATTTAAAACTACAGTACCAGTTTCAGTTTTTTCCCACAGCTCAAATCTGTCCCAACTTGAACAAAAAAGAATCAAAGACAGACAAATCCTCCATCATTTCTGCATCACTTCCCACCCTCACGTTGCTCTCTTTCTTCACCAACTGCCTTAAAAGAACAGACTACACTGAACTTTCTCTGTCTGCAAACAGATGCGCTCACACTACCCCACCTTCACTCCCGAGACCCGGCGCCGCTACGGCTTCACAAATCTGAGATACGACGCCTCTACTCTTCTCTCACTACCTTATTCAGCTGCTCATACATTCCGACCAAAAAACAAGTATAATCGCACCAATGCCTTGCTTAAAACACTTCAGGCACCAACAGGACCCAGTCCACACCCCCTAAGCTAGCTTGATCTGCTCCCTCACCACCTCAGGGCTACTCCAGAGCGCGGAATCCAGCCGTACCCCCTCGGTTTAAGCCTCTTACCTTTGCATATGCGGCTCCCTCCGCTTGGAATACCCTTTTGCCCCCTTCCACCTACGCAGACCCTATTTAAGTCTGATCTTGAGCCCCGCCTCCCCCAGTAGGAACCGACCTCCCTCCCAGGATGTCCATTCATCCAGTAGAGATAACTACCAAGGCACGCATACCCTGAGGGCCCTCATCTGTTTACAGGACTGACATCTCCATAGGACCCCAGCCACGGATGCCACCCGGTGCTTCCCCAGGGGCTGACCCAGACACTCTAAAGGCTAGTCAGATGAATACTGACACTGTAGACCCCTGAAATAACAATCGTTTCACAAACTTCCTTAATTGCCCTCATAGCTCAGAGCCTACCCTTGGCTGGATGTAGGGTCCGCAGGAGGGAGGGAGGGTTGGAGAGAAGGGGGGCCTTTCCTCAGCAGTTCCCTCCTCACCCACAGGAGGTCTGGACGCCTGAGTGGAGTTCAGGGACCTGCGTGAGCAGAGAAGCTCCAGGTCAAAGGTCAGAAACAAATCCACCGTCGCGAAAAAGGGGTGACCATTCGCGGGAGAGCTAGTCCCCCGCTCCTTGAGGCCAAGGCTATCACTGGGTACCCTGCGGTAGCCCCCTGTGGATGGTGGGCTCAGAAGAGGCTGAGCTGTGGGAGGTCAGAGAAGCAGTGAGACCCAGTCAGCCTGCGGCCCCCAGCCCACACCAGACAGAAACCCTGACCCTCCGCAGAAGACGTCAGACGGAGCCACCCACCCAGACCCCCCCCCCCGGACCCCCCGCACAGAGCACCCCCCCTCCTAGCGCCCGCCTGGCTATGCAGCCGTGGATTCCGCCACACGTGCCCTCCCTACAGCCGGGAGCCGAGGGAACCACCAGTCCGAGGTGCCGCGGAGACCTCAGAACCGGCAAGGTCCGAGGTGCTGGACGCCGTAATACCAGACTGGGGTCCGGAAGTGCGCAGATCACACTCGGACACCCCTGCACTGCGTAGGCGCCCCTGGATTGGGGTGGAACTACAACTCCCGGCAGCCTCTGCGGCAAGGCACTTCCGGTCAGCCAGAGGCGCTTCCGGCCACGGGGGGACTGGCGTGGGCGGGCACGCGTGGCGACGTGGATTGGCAAGGAGGTGTCTCCTTTGGCAGCCCCGGTGGACCTGCAGGCTGGCCATGAACACACCATCTTCATGGTGTTGCCGGGCCGGCAGTGGCCCTCGTGGTTTCCCGCCGCATCTGATCCGATCTGTTCCCATCCCGGCGCCATTTTGAGTGGCAGGTTATGGGCTCCCCAGTCTTGAAAGTCCAACCTGGTCTTAGCTGTAGGCCTTGTCCCAGAAAGTCTGCTCTCTGAGGGGCTCCATGTCGGACGCGTTATTTTGTAAAAAATGCCTGGCCTTCAGCCCTCATGACAATCCCCGAAATAGGTATTGTTAGCCCCGTTTTGGGGTAGAGGAATCAGAAGCAGCCTTTCTCAATATTTTTACTCTAGAGGCACCCTTGAAATAACTATCAGGTGTCAGGGAACACTTGCCTAAGTGTTATGTCTGCAGCTCATGATAGAATATGGCAATATATATATGCATACACACATATGAGATGCCGAATATATGAACTGGACAGTGGCCAGACCACATATAAAAGCAGAACTGTGGGGACTTCACTGGCGGTCCAGTGGTTAAGACTCCAAGCTTTCGATGCAGGAGGCGGGGGTTCCATCCCTGGTGGGGGAACTAAGATCCCACATACCGCGAGGCAAAAAAATAATAATAATAATTAACACCAGAACTCTGACCTACCACCTCTGTGAGCTACCCAAGAAACCAACCCCCTTACCTACAGTAAAAAGCCCAGGAAGCCAGACTGCTATCTCTAGTCACATTCCAGGAAGCTAAACAGTAACTTTTACAGCAGTTGGTTCCAAATGACGAGGACTGGATCAATAACTGACAGCTTCCCTGGTTTTTGTACCTGCTTCTAATTAGGACCAACCAACGAAAGTCAAACATGCTCCCCTCCAAAGAAGGCATACCAGATATCTTCCTTTTTCCACTGTAAAACTCTCGCATTCCTCTGCCTGTCTTTGAGTCTCTACTGAAACAAGTGACAGTGACTGTCTCATTTGCTCTAACAAGCTCTGAATAAATAGCCTTGCCTGTTTTCATTTGGTTGGTCTTCATTTAGTTTCAAAGATACAGTTAATGGTAAATATTTTTCTGTAGATTCTGCTTATTTTGACTAGCTACTGTATTGTGTGGCTTTCCTCTCATTATTTGCTATTAAAATGTATTATTCAAAATTCACTAAGTGAAGGTAACAGGAATTTAAACCTAAAATGATGCTTTTCAGATTATCAGTGCCACATGAAGAAGAACTTTCTGATTCCTAGAGCTGTTGAAAAGTGTAATGGGTTTCAGGTGGAGGGTCAGAGGGTATTGGAAGAAAATTCTCCTTTGTGATTGTATAGATCTGTGCTGTTCAATACAGTAGCCACTAACTACATGTGACTACTGAGTACTTGAAAGGTGGCTAGTCCAAATTAATATGTGCATTACAGGGAGATCAGCTTGGTGCTTTGTGATGACCTAGAGGGATGGTATAGGGAGGCTCAAGAGGAAGGGGATATGGGGATATACGTATACATATAGCTGATTCACTTTGTTGAACAGCAGAAACCAACACAACATTGTAAAGCATTTATACTCCAGTAAAGATGTGGGGAAAAAAACCAACCCCGAATGAACTTTTTGGCCAACCCAATACATGTAATAGCAAAAATAAATAAATAAATAAGATGTGCTTTAATTGTAAAATACCCTGAATTTTGAAGATTTGGTATGAAAAAAGTGAATGTAAAATATGTCATTAATAACTTCATAATGATTATATGCTGAAGGAACAATGTTTTAGACACACTGAGTTAAACAAAACACTTAAAATTAAAAAATAAAATGATGTTTTTCATATGCTTCTAACATTTATACTGCTAAAGTTACTAAAGCTTAAAACTTTAGGATATCTTATATTACATAATAGTGTTAATAAATTTGACTTATTTTACAGTGTTGCTAGAGCTGCCTGCAGAGTTTAAACAACCAAATATGATATTAGTCTGAAATAGATATTCTCTGTGACATGTGTCTTGTGTGTGTGTGTGTGTGTGTGTGTGTGTGTGTTGGATGGGGATGTTAGGGGTAAGGAACGTCATTATGTGATTTTGAAAATCCTATAAAATGATCATTTAAGCTACTTACTAATATGTTCAAATAGTAAGTTTCATATCAATTAAGGTTTTGCATTATTGGAAACAACCTGTAAGAACTTTTAAAATATGCTGTTAGGTTCAGCTCATGCTCTTTTTGAAAAAAAGGAAAAAATAATCTTACTTTTTTGTAACATGGGATTGCTTTTCCTTTTGTTTCTAATTCCTGTATTAGGTTTGGACATCAGGGATTTGAGTCCTTTGCAGATTCAGCTACATAGTTTTCTACCTTTTGGTTTGTTCTAGAGAGAATTATAAACAATAGAAATCATCTCCTTAAGAAAGTTTAGAAAGATTCATTTGTGAACCTTTTGAGTACAGAACCTTTTACAGGATAATTGTTTGAGAGTTTTATGTCTTTTTATTGTTGTTGTTCTTTTCCTGTTTAATCAACTTTGGTAATATATTTTTCTTCCAAATTGTCTTTTAATTCAGTACTTTCAAGTTTTTTACTATGTTATTTATCATGTCTGTTACTTTGAATTATTTAAAATTTCCAGATGTATTTTTAGAGAGTTTTCCAATAACTGGTATCTCTTTTGTACTGATTAGCACAACCAGAGATTTATCGCTTATTTTTTTCCCAAAGAGAAAGCTTTAGATTTATTCTTTCTCTTCTTCTCTGATGAGAGAAAAAATAAAACTCTTACAGGTATCATCTTCTAACATCAAGATTACATGGAAACTGGGCTTCTCTGGTGGCGCAGTGGTTAAGAACCTGCCTGCCAATGCAGGGGACACGGGTTTGAGCCCTGGTCTGGGAAGATCCCACATGCCATGGAGCAACTAAGCCCATGCGCCACAACTACTGAGCCTGCGCTCTAGAGCCTGCGAGCCACAACTACTGAGCCCACGTGCCATAACTACTGAAGCCCATGCGCCTAGAGCCCATGCTCCGCAACAAGAGAAGCCACCGCAATAGAAGCCCACACGCTGCAACCAAGAGTAGACCCCACTCGCCACAACTAGAGAAAGCCCATGCGCAGCAACAAAAACCCAATGCAGCCAAAAATAAATAAATTTATTTTAAAAAAAAAAAGAACCAATGCTCAAAAAAAAAAGATTACATGGAAACTACTTTAAAATAAATGGGGAATGGGATCATTCCAATCGTAATTATAAAATGAGAACTAAAAATGGATGGAGCTATATTGCTTAGGAGATGGATGAAACTGCTGTAATAGAGACACTAAAACAATAGTGCCTTAAAAAAATTATAGACAATTATTTCTCATAAGCCCTTCTAAGAAACTTAGAAAACTAGGCTTCTTCTAAATGACTACTCTACCATCTCTAGGGCATTTTCCTCCTCTCCATGATTCAAGATGGCCATCAACCACATCTGTATGTCAAACAGCAGTAAGAAGGGAAAAGTGTATAAAATGTCCTTTCTTTTAAGGGCACAATCCAGAAGAGGCATGAGTCACTTCTGCTCATATCCCACTGGACAGGTCTTAGTCATATGACCACTGCTATCTACAAGGAAGACTGGGAAAAAAACGTCTTTATGCTGGGAGGGCAATATTCCCAGCCCAAAATCAGGGATTCTGTTACTACAGAAGCAAAGAATAGATATAGGGAGGTAACTAGCAGTCTCTGCCATAGGAGATAAGAGAGGATTCGCAATGTCACGGAGAATGCCACCCAAACAGGTGAAGCAGATTGTGACATGAACAATGAACCTCCCCCCACCTCGCTGAGTTGGACTATAGACAGCAATGAATTTTACCCATTTACCCCATTTCACTACAGGACAAAATTTAATCTTGGGGGTGGAAATGATAAGCAGTAATAGCTTACCTGGATATGCTGGATAGAGCTGGAGACAAGGGAATCTAACTGCTCTGATTATAGGTTTTTATGTTTTCAATTTCTTTGAAGAACATAATAAACATACAGTATAACAAATCAAACAATACAAATATATAGAGAAAGCTAATTCCTCAGCCCCTACGTTCCAAAGTAACAAATATAAATAGGCTAGTATCTATTCTTCCATATAATTCCCCTGCCTCCGTGTAATCATATATAAAATCATATAAGGACCATTCACATTTAATATGATTATTAATATAGCTGGGTTTAAATCTCTCATCTTGCTATTTGTTTTCTGTTCATCCCATTTGTTTTCTTCTTTTCATCTTTTCCTGCCTTCTTGTGGATTAATTGAATATATACATATTTTTAATAATTTTATTTATTTATTTATGGCTGTGTTGGGTCTTTGTTGCTGCACGCGGGCTTTCTCTAGCTGCAGCCAGTGGGGGCTACTCTTCCTTGTGGTGCGTGGGCTTCTCATTGCAGTGGCTTCTCTAGTTGAGGAGCACAGGCTCTAGGCATGCAGGCTTCAGTAGTTGTGGCCCACAGGCTCAGTAGTTGTGGCTCAAGGGCTCTAGAGCACAGGCTCA